TTTTTTTTTAATATGCATATCTGTGTGTTAGTGTAGGACATTCATTTGGTGAATAAAGAAGTTCACAAACGGGAATAATTAGGAGTGGCTTGTGAAGTCATTGAAATGCTTAGTTGCTTATTTTGAAGTTCTGAACATGCGACACGTATCGAATTATTGCTTATACACAATCTTTTTTTTTTCTCTCGTAAATAAAAAGTGGATGGAGGATTGGGGGGATTGCGCAATCAACCATCCGTGCCTTAAATATCATTACACAATAATATGCGTTTGTTAGATTCACACTAACGAGTCAACGAACCACTCTGTTTTTTTCCTATGCAGATGCAAATTAGTCTTCCCATTTACACACTTGAGTTCACATTCCTATTCGTTTATTTACCATACCTCTCTGATTCTATATTTCTTTCAGAGATTCCGGACACAGGTAGGGCCTAGACACCAGACTTTTCGGTCGAGCAAATTTTTCCCAAAGCCAAGATCCAAGCAACCCGACGCCGTTTATGGTTATGTCACTAGTACACGAAAGACGAGCTATATATATATATAGCTTCTGAGATTTCAGAGATGATGGCTCACTTGGCAGAAATCAACACCGACATGTATTATAATAAGCCTTTAAGACATTCATTTATTCAAAACGATAGAGAGGATTCGTTAAACAATTTGTAGAAGAACATTTTGGCAGAACAACAAAAGGCTGTGTTTTTTTATTTTTCATAGGTTACAGTAACAACTAGCAAGTGACTTCCACAAGAGTAGAGAAGTGACTTCCACAGGAGTAGAGCATAAGATGTATCTGTCAGTTCTTCCTTCCCTCCGACAAGATAATGTGGTAACCGTGCCTGCAATCACCTCACAATCACATTCATCCACCAAACAAAGCCAGAGAATATTGAAGAAAGAAGAGGGTACATAAGAACAAGCAATCCTTGCATAATATGGATTCCAAATGTTCATGCTCTTGATGTAAATTTAATAGTATAGGATGTGAACGTACGTTGATTTGAAGGGTGCACTGGTGACTCCAACAGGTGTGTTGAAGGCGACATCTTGGAATGGACCAGCCATTTTCCCCCTTGGGAACCATCCAAGATCTCCTCCTTTTTTCCCTGATGGGCACTCTGAGTACTCTGCTGCAATCTGAGTAAAGTTCCACACAGATATCGTGTTAAGATTCTCCACCAATCATTACACTCATCTATGCAAATATAGCTAACCAAAAACTGAAACTTGTATGTCTCGAGAAAGAAATGAACTATGAGGTGTTGAAATGGGTTTTCAGCGGTATGTAAACGTCACAGCTAGAGATGGAAAAACAAGACTATCTAAAATATCTTAGATTTGGTGTTTTAACTTACAGACCAAAAAACAAATAAGCAAATTTAGTTTTTTTTCACCTTTGCAAACTCAGCAGGAGGAACCTTGTCTCCGTTGCTCAGCCAACCATCCTGCAACTTTTTGTACGCCTCGTTGATCTTTCCTTGCTTTTCGCACAAAACATGCCTTGCTGAAATGAAAAACATTGCAGTGTTGACAACATTTCTATGCGATTATACTACAAATGCCAAAGTTGTAAAGAAAAAAATTTATATCCATAAAATGTTTATATGTACTTATCACACAAGAACACAAGTATCAAACAGAGAAAATGAATTGAGAACACACACCTTTAACATAAGTGCAAGTCCCGAGACCATCGGCGGCTTTTCCTGCTTTGCCTTTACCCTTGGGAGCCGCTTCATCACTGCCACTCGCTTGCTTTCCTTTACCCTTCCCACCGGCTTTTGCGTCCTTCCCCATCTACATAAAAACCGCAAGAAACAACTTTATCATTATCAAATTTCAGGGTTTTAACATGAGACAAACCCTGAAACTGAAACCCTAAACCCTGAAACAGCTTCAGTAAGAAATTCAATGTAGATCGAGGACAAATTCAAGTGACTTGGGATCTATACTGGAGGCAGATATATAATTGGTAAACGAGAGAATGTATATTTATAAAAAGAGGAATTCTGAGCATTTAATCAAACACTTGGTAAGCTCAGAACCATCAAATTCAGATTGATCACAGCACAACAAGACTGTAAGAAGAGTATCTCAACATCTGGACAATCGAAACGCGATGACCCCAAACCACATATTAATGATCTCTAGTCGAAGATGCAACACAAATAATAGGAACCTCAATTTTAATATATTGCCTAAAAATCAGAGAATTGACCAACGAATCCGTGAAAAACTAAGGGGATAAGTCTTGAAATTATAAAAAAACATGAAAACTGGAATGATAATATGATTGAGAACACAGAAAATTTGAAAAGGAGAGGAAGAGGAGGACTTTACCTTGAGATTCTTCTTCTTTCAGATTGAAACGATC